TGGTAAAAATGCTTGTTTCACAATTGCAGCCACCGTCCCTGTTTTGCTGCTGCTGTTGCTGCTGCTTCTGCTGCTGCTATAAAACCCAGCCAGCTGCCTTCCAAACACCTCTAGCCAGGTGAGAACAGTGCAGTGGCTTCTCCAAGGCAGCACCATCAGTATCAGGAAGGGGGTGCAATGCAATTTTTTAAAGCCCAGTGGCTATGGATTCACTGAATGTTTAACTGGGCTAATTTATTTGTATTTGTTAAATGTCTGTGCCACCCATCTCAGCTAGAAGCCACTCTGTGTGGCTTACAATAGAGTAAAAACAACAGAATAAAACAGTAGGATATTAAAATAATAAATATTAATATTAATATTGAAAGAGAGCTAAGGAAGGAAGCAAGGCATAAATGGGGTGGAGGTAGAATCTTCTCTCAGTCCATTAGCCACCTCCTCTCTCTCTCTCTCTCTCTCTCTCTCACACACACACACACACACACACACACATTTTCTACATTCACATAACTTTGAACATTAAATTAACTAAAGACTGGTCCTAATCTATATATATAAAAGCGAAATACCACTCACGCATCAACACAAAATCTCCAGAACTGTAAAGCCTACAAACTTGAAATTTCGCGCGTATGTTCCTCTTGGCTTCTAGGTGCTCACTAAGAAATGATTATTCGAAATGCCCATTAGAGCATTAGTATTTCGTATATTATTATTAACATGCTCTGATGCTAAGGAGTTCTACTCCCCACCCCCACCTGAAAAGAAGTCTGTTCCAAATGCAGAACACAAACAGAGGAGTTTCAGTTTCAGTTTCAGAGCACCAAGCAGCTGTAGTACAGAACAGTTGAGCTAAGTCATACCCAGGCTCCTTGCTGTCTCCTTCTTGCTCACATAACAAATACTGTTTCAGTTTCTGATGCTAGCCAGATGAATACCAATGGATGCTGGTAGGCAGAGGCAGAATTCCCCCCCCCCTTATTTTCCTCCCCAAAAACTAAGCCCGACCACATAGTTTCGTAGTGAAGCACGGGTATAGAGCTAGTCCTGTATATAATACTTATCCTGGGAGTTGATTTCTGGGAGTTGAAGTCCACAAGTCTTAAAGTTGCCAAGTTTGGGGACCCCTAACCTAGAGCCATGGTTAAGGAAGGTAAACTTATAAACTGAAGGTGTCTCCCAGGTAAAGCACTTCTATTTAGCTACAGTATAATCCAGGGTTCAACTTGGACATCACGTTACTGCTGCTTTCCCACCACACCCCTAGCCTGCTTGCTGAATTGATTCATTTTTCTGTTCGCATGATGTGTTTCTTACCCAGTTGAAAGAGTTCCTCAATCTTTCTGGGAAGATTTTTGTTTCTTAGCTGAATACATGATTCGAAAGGAAATAATATTGTATTCTCAACATTATTCAAATTGGACTGCCTTTTTATGGAGATGGGATGGAGATAGCCTGAGGCGATGATGCAAGGAGGTAATGAATGCTGCGTATTGCTTTGTGTTTCTGTTTTGGAATATCTTCCTAATGTTTTGAGACTTGCATAATTCCATAACTCTTGATTCTACAGAAATAAAGTAAAGCATGGAACATGCAGATTGAATCTATATTATGTGTGCCTCTTGTCAAATTTGGACTGTTCTGTAGTGTATCCAACTGTCCAACTGACTCAGTCTCTCTTTTGTCCTCTAGATTTCTTCTCCAGCCCTCGGCCAGTGCCTGCACAAACCCCTCTGAGCTATACAGATCAGCCTTGCTTTGTGCCCATGCCAGACACCCTTTTTGATAGTGGTGGTAGCAACCTTCTTCCCAGCCCGTCCAATGCCTTGCTTCCCACAGGCTCTGCCAGTTCTCCTGCCTTGAGCAGCCCTCGTCTTCAGGTGTGCAAGATTGATGGCCATCTCTTTTTCCAATCCTCTGTCCTAGGTTTTGATTTAATTTGGGGGCCTGTTCTCTTCTTTTGTATTTTTCTGCCCTTTCCAACTCAGTCTGGGTTCAGCCCAGGGTTCCTGCCGTATCAAGACTTTAAGAGGGAGCCATTTGCCCGTTTGCAGGAATTCTCAGTATAAATTGAATGTGGAATAATAAACAGATTCATGTGCAAAGTGTTATTTTGATGGGGAAAATAGGTTGAAGATCAAGGATCAATTCTTGCCTATTTCATCCCTAGTAATGGGATGGACTCTCCTCTGACCTAGGCTCCCCCAACAGCACGAAGCCAAGTCCTCGTCCCAACCCCCTTTTATTTAATTTACAATGAATTTCCTCTCCAACAAAGTCCCAGCCAGCAGTCTTTCAAGATAGTTCCCAATTACAGACTTTTATCAGGCTTGGAGATTGGCCAGGCTGATATCTTTCAGACCCCGCAATACTTGGCAAGTATGCCAGAATGAACTGTCTCCTGCAAAGCCCCACTCCCCTTTCACTCCTCTTTTATACTCTAGGGCAGGGGTCCCCAACCACCGGTCCGCGGACCGATACCGGTCCGCGGAACAAGTCTTACCGGGCCGCTGGTTGCTGGGCGCCGCCATCTTTTTTGACGAAAAAGTGCTTCACCGGAAGCACTTTTTCGTCAAAAAAAGATGGCGGCGCCCAGTTGATGCCGGTAGCGGGCCGCGGCGCCCAGCTGATGCCGGTACCGGGCCGCGGCGTCAAAAAGGTTGGGGATCACTGCTCTAGGGGAGGGGCCATTCACCGTCCACCTGTGGCTTTATTCCCAAACTGGCCCTTGTTCCTCAGCTGTTCCCTTTTTCTGGCAACTCTGTGCATGTGCATACTGGGAACAGGCTCTAACTGTTCTTCTGCCTCACTAATGGCTGACTCCGAAGGCAGCTGATTTCTGTCAGGCAGCCCTGGTCCCATCTCTGCCTCCAATGCAGAGCACTCATCAGAGCCTTCCCCAGACTCCAGGACTGGCCCATGTTCCTCCCTAACCTCCTCGCTGCCCGAATCTGCTGCCAGCTCTGCTGGCCGCTGTCAGGCCACAACAGACTCCAACGGAGTATGTACACTGGCAATATTTTGGTGACCGAAATATGAATAAACCGCCCCACTATTATTTCCCACTTATAAGATTCAGATCCAGAGTATTGCAGGATTAAGCTCAAAAATTGCCAGCCATTGTTCTGTTTTACTTAATTGGGCTGATTTTACAACAATCCAAATCAGGAGAATTATTCTAAGTGCTAACTAAACTTGCAAAGGCCAAAGCATTTCGGGTGTAGTAGTTTGGGTTTCTAAAGGTCAGATAGAACTTGGAGCCTTCCCCTTTTTGACTGTGCCACTTTTCCCTTGCTCTGGTTGGCTGCCCACTTCAACAATGAGATGGGAGGATATATTAATTAACTTTTTTTCTTTTTGCTGCTGCAGCATCTTTCTCCTCTCTTTTCTTTTTCAGTCTGCAGGTGGTTGCCCAGCTCAGCTTGGTTCACCTGGTGCCTTCCTCAGCCCTGAGCTCCCTCCCATTCCTTCCCCTTCAACCTCCCCCAACAATTTTGGCCCTGATCGCAAGCAGAAGCCCCTCCTTCCCTACACACTCCCCAACAAATGGCTCAGCCTTGACCACTATGGATCTTATTGTCCTGCCTCCCTGCCCAGAGCCCCTTTGCTCAGCCAACAGCCAGTATGCCCACCACTGTCAGCCCCTTGCTCCAAATTCCACTACCCATCTGCCCCTCTCTTTTCTTGTCCTACTTCCCCATCCCTCTCCACCGTCTGTTTCCCCCCGAATATACCAGGTTACAATATAGACTTGCCATCTGGATACCATTCTCCCTTCAACGCATCACATCTGCTCCCTAGTCTGCCAAGCAGCCCTATTTCTGGTCTGGCCAGAGGACAGCCTCCATCTGGAAGGGACAGGCCCAAGGCCAAGGGGGCAACGATCAAGAACAAGAGATCCCCAAGGCTTCCTGTCCCACCACTGGCTGCAACAATATCTGACCAATGTCTGACAGAGCTGCTGAGCACAGGTAGGAATACGAGGCAACATATTTCCTGAGGGGGGTTTGCCAGACTGGAAAAATGCATTGGGATTAAGACGGCAAAGACTAACGAAAGAATAACATGCATTCAGATTTTTCAAAAGGATCTTATTCTCATTTTACTTACTTAATAGCATGTTCAGATTAGTTTAAAGCATTGGGCGAAATCCAGATTTAGTCATGTTTAAAGGAAATTTGACATGAATCATGCAACATTTAATATCAAGCAGATATCACTGAATCTAAGCATGAATCTGAATCTATTCCATTATTGTTATTAATATGTATAATGGCGCAGATGGTAAATACCTTTTGAGAAAAGATGTTGCATTAGTTGTGCTGGAAAAGAAAGGACAGATATTCCTCTTCTAAGATCTATATTGCATGCATTTTGCTTTTTTTTTTAAATGCTTGCCATACAAACTGATTAGTTATCAAAACTAACATTTCTCACATACCAATCCATTCACCGTTTCTTTAGCTGGCTGTAGTCTTGTTCCCTTTGTATGTTTAGAAGGTTCCCAAGACATGTTTGATTCACTTAGTTCTACAAATAAGTCAACAATTCAAACAGAAACTTTCTGTGTTTTGGACTATTAATTGTCAGAGTAACCAAAGTCCTATTGAGAATTTTGGAGACCAAAGAAGCAATGCATTTGGAAGGTACTGTGTATACTTTAAAAATGATTTGGAAATACTGTTTTCTTACTACGTCTCTTTTAAGCATCTCTTTTAATGAATAATAAAAAGATGTTGGGCTTACATGAAAGCATCCGAATCATTTCTTCCAAATCATTGTCAAAGCATGCACAGACCTAAATTGCTTATTCTTTTCAAAGACTAAATCCTATTGAACTTTCATTTCTATTGCATACTGTCAAATCAGTACAGACTTATAGTAGTTTACAAAAGAGTTAACAAAAACATGCAGAAGTTAGAAATGAATTAAAGCAACCAATAACTAATCAAAGTGTGAGGAATACAAGGATAAATGTATTATTAATAATATTAGTTCTGAATATTGAACTTTCATTTTTTATTCTATTTGCATACTGTCAAATCAGTACAGACATAGTGGTTTACAAAAGAGTTAACAAAAACATGTGCAACAGTTAATACATGCAATAAACATAAAACAGTGCATATAAATGAATTAAAGGAACTGATAACTAAGGTTCAAGAACTCAAAGATAAGTGTATTATTAATAAAATTACTTCTGAGTAGACATGTAGAAGATTGCAATCTTTTCCTGGTCCTGAAATATTTTTACAAGTAATAGATTGTTTTGACTGGCTAGTTTACTGGTTATCACTTCAGCCAATGAATTTATAGGAGAATCCATTTAAATTGTAGATGACTTTTTTGCAGACTATTTTGTGTTGATCAAATGAATGCAAAGTCCTGAAATTGACTAGCTCATCTTTGCATGTAATTGAAAGTATAATGGAAAAGACTTAGCACTTGTACTTCTGTAGCCTGGTGGCAGAGAATTCTGTTTCCAATGGCAGCTCCTCCCAGATGTCAGCCTTGCCAAGTAGTGCAGACAAATAGCGCATACAGAGGCACAAGCTCTATTTTTGCTGTAAGGTTACATTAACAGAATCTTGCAGGTGTGAAAGTACTCCCCCCTCCCCCCCACCTTTCTGAGAACTTTGAGAAAACTAGGGAGGGTCCTTTTTGAGAACTTTGTCATGCCCACATTCCTTCTGCAGACTCATCTACCTCTTTTCCATTGCCTAATCTGCTGCTCTTCCTCCTGTTTCCCAAAGTCATTTCCACTGTCCATTATACCAGGGCAGCCTTGGCTCCGCCCTCTCTCTCTCTCTCTCTTCAGGAAGGGTTTTGGAGAACTTTACAGCTGTCACATTGCTCTCCATAGCCAAACCCTGTTCTGTTCTCAGTCTCCAGCTTTTGAGTGCTGTATCTTTGACTGAACAAATTAGAAAACAAAACCATTAGGGAACAAATTAGAAAACAAAGAAAAGACAAAACCCTTGATGCTTTCTGCCACCTAGTGCTTGAACAATGGACTAGTTGAACCAATGTTAAAAGGCATTCTTTTAAAAGTTCAGTTCACTGTGTGATAGAAAAGAAAAGAGGGAAAACACAATCGTGCATACAAGAAGCAGACAGTTGTGCCTACATTTGGAAGAGCTTTTCCATGTGGTGGAGGATTAACAGAATGACAGAGTTGGAAAGGACCTTGGAGGTCTTCTAGTCCAACCCCTTGCTCAGGCAGGAAACCTTACACCATTTCAGACAAAAGGTTTCCAATCTCTTCTTAAAAACCTCCAGTGTCGGAGCGGCCACAACTTCTGGAGGCCAGTTGTTCCACTGATTAATTGTTCTGTCAGGGCTGGGGTTTGAGCAGAAGGAAGCACCAGTCGCATCCCCTAGATTAGAATGGGGCATGTTAAAAGTGGATGGACAGCAAGGTAGCGCACACCTGTTTTCACAGCACAATAAAGGTGCATGTGGGGGCAGCATGATTTCCTAATAGCTCTGGCATGGACTTGGCAAAGCAGCTGTATGGATGTGCCCTAGTGGGTCAGTGGGGAGACCAAAAGAAACATCTTTTAGACTTTTGGTGGAACACAAGCTTTTCTAGACTCTAGCTAAAACACAAAAAATGGTGTATAAATCATCACCATCTATATAATCCCATTGTCCCATATATATTTTGGACAGTTTTGTCTAGTGGTTAAAGCACAACGCCAGAAAGCTATGAAAACCAGCTGGGTGACTTTGGGCCAGTCACTCTCCCTCAGCTCAACCCACCCCTCAGAGCAACATTCTTCGGCTCAGTATTTGTAAACAGCAATGGATCATGCCCAGTACTTCCTAGTTGAACCACAGACAACTACACTGATCTAATACATATCGATTTTACAGAAAACATTGTTGAAAAAGCACTGCACAATCTAAAACCATCCCCATCTATTGGACCGGACGGAATATGTGCCTACTTCTTAAAAAAGCTACCCACTGCCATAGCTGAACCTCTAAGCATAATCTTTGAAAAATCTTTCAGGACCAGCTCCTTGCCAAAACTATGGTCACAAGCCACAGTCATCCCCATCTTCAAAAAGGGAGACCCCAGCCTAGTTGAAAATTACAGCCCAATCTCCTTATGCTGCGTCACCTGTAAAGTCATGGAATCAATTATTAACTAATCCATTATCCTCCACTTAGAGACAAACAACCTACTCTCCAATAAACAATTTAGTTTCAGAAAAAAACTATCCTGTAATCTGCAACTCTTACACTGCAAAAACATATGGACTACACAACTCGATCAGGGCAAAACAATAGATGCAATCTACATAGACTTCTATAAAGCCTTAGATTCAGTGGTACACGACAAACTAGTACTAAAACTAAAATCTTATGGTATCTCTGGACACCTACATAACTGGATAGAAGCATTCCTGTCAAACAGACAACAAATGGTCAAAATTGGGAGCGTCCTATCAAATTCTGTACCTGTCAACAGTGGTGTCCCCCAAGGCAGTGTTTTAGGACAAACTCTCTTCATACTCTACATAAATGACCTCTGTGATCATATTAAGAGCAACTGTATTCTCTTTGCTGATGATGTAAAGCTATTCAACATCACAGACAATACTACTACCCTCCAAAAAGACCTTGACCATGTATCAGAATGGTCAATCAAATGGCAACTTCAAATCTCAACAAATAAATGCTCTGTCTTACATATTGGCAAAAAAAATCAGAAAATAAAATACAAGCTAAATAATCAAGACCTTGTTGAGGATCCAAGCTCTGTCAAGGACCTTGGAGTTCTCATCTCTAATGATCTAAGTGATAGAGCCCACTGTAACTACATAGCCAAAAAGGCATTAAGAATTGTTAACCTAATCCTATGTAGCTTCTTCTCTGGTAACATCACACTACTAACTAGATATACAAAACATTTGCTAGACCTATACTTGAATATAGCTCATCAGTCTGGAACCCATATCATGTATCTGATATTAACACAGTTGAGAAAGTCCAGAAATATTTCACAAGAAGAGAAAGTCCAGAAATATTTCACAAGAAGAGTTCTCCGCTCCTCTACTCATTGCAGAATACCTTATGCCACCAGACTTGAAATTCTAGACCGAGACAACCTAGAACTATGCCACCTCCGTCCGATCTAAATATAGTATATAAAATCATACATTGCAATGTCCTACCTGCAAATGAATACTTCAGCTTCAATCATAACAATACAAGAGCACACAATAGATACAAACTCAAGGTTAACTGCACCAAACTTGACTGCAGAAAATACGACTTCAGCAACAGAGTGGTCAATGTCTGGAATACTCTACCTGACTCTGTGGTTTCTTCCCCAAACTCCAAAAACTTTAACCTTAGACTGTCTACTATTGACTTCACCCCCTTCCTAAGAGGCTTGTAGGGGGCATGCATAAGCATACCAATCGTGCCTACCATCCCTGTCCTATTGTTTCTTTTTATTTTTCTTATAAGTATCTATCTCATGTATTCAAAACTATGTTTATTCTTATACCTGTATCTTGTAAGCAATTGACAAATCAAATAAATACTAAATACTAAAAAAATCGTGGGAAAAATAGGAGGAGGAAGATGAATATGTTTACCACCTTGAGTTATTTTTAAAAATAATAAAGGTAGGATACAAACAAATAAAATATTTTTGTCCTGTTTTTCAGATAATTATTGTCTTTCAACTGGGCACATGTAAATGTTAAAAATAATAGTTCCCATCATCAGGTTTAAGAATGAGCACATATAGAATAAAAAGGAAAGACAGATCAGCTCTTGAAATCCAGAACAAAATAACAAACTTGCATGTCAGTGATCCACTCATGTTTTGGATCGTTACGTGTTCCTGGTCTTAGCTGTGTGATAGTTGGTAATCTTTGGCAATGGACCTTTCTCCATTTCAGATCTGTAGCTCTAATGAAAGTAAAATGACTTTTGATTCAGGGTGTGTCTCTTCAGGCTCACTCTTTGGACATATGGCAAAAGGAGAAGAATCATTTTCCTTGCCTTTTTGACTTCCTTGTCTAATATATAGACCTGGTATTCCCTTGAGGTCTCCCCTCCAAGTACTAACGAGGCCTAACCCTGCTTAGCTTTCAAAGCCAGAGAAGGTCAGACAGATGTTGCTACCTGCTGAGAAAGCTGTAACTAGTAGCTATGTGACAGAGGGATAAAGCAAGCTTTGCTTCTTTCCTGATGTACAGGTGCTCCACAACACAGGGGGATCCATCAGGATGCCCCTCTCCTGTTACACAAGAAAACATCAGCATCTTTCTTTCAGTCACCCAGAAAGACCTTCAGGGAAATAAAAGGCTGACCCAATCTTTAGCTAAGGTTCATTCACACATACTGTTCATGGAGACAAGATTCCGTTTGGAAGAGAGCCTTCCCTCCTTAACTATGGCTCAGCTGCACTCGAGCATCCTGAGCACTGATTAAATTTGAAAGCACTGTTTGGTTGGATTCACACAACATATTAACCTAGGTTAAAATGAAATTGGGCAATTTGTGGTTCAGCATAATATGGGAGGGCAGTAGTCAAGATGCTGTGTGAATCAGATCATTCATTCAGCATGGTTTATCTGCTGCACCATCACATCTTATATGAATGCAGGGATTGTACTTTGTTGTCCTGGGTTTAGGGTTTAAGCTAATGCATGTTGTGTAAACCCTACTGTGCTCTATATATGGGTTGCCTTATTTTTCTCTTTTTACAGCAAAAGCAGAACCTAGTTTAGAGGACCTGTCTGCTCCCAGCCACAATGTGGCCTCCACAGGACCTGAGATCCTGGTAGGTGTTGGTGAGAGAATGGGTTTTTTTGGGGGGGGTGTTCTTGGATTTGGAACAGGATTAAGATAAGGTACTTCTAGATCTGGAAGGAATGGAGCTGTATCATCTCACCTGGACAGCTTGGTACTCTAAAACTTGGGATTTCAGGAGAAAGTGAAAAAACCCTGGTAGATGTTGGAGAATATAAATAGTTAGACCAAGGGTCTTCAAACTTGGCAAGTTTAAGACTTGTGGACTTCAACTCCCAGAATTCCTGAGCTAACATGACTGGAGGAGGAATTCTGGGGGTTGAAGTCCACAAGTCTTAAAGCTGTCAAGTTTGAAGACCCCTGGGCGGAAAACTGCCATAACCATGGGTAAAATGAACCAATGTACATCCCACATCTAGATTGCCAATACTATTAGAGGAGAAATTGTAACTTAAGATTGGTAGCACTTGTCAGACCTAAAGACCCAAGTTGTCCAGCTCCTTTTTTCCACCAGCGACTGGGCACATCTCCCATTGGGAAGTTTTGTCAACAGAGCTGGAGGCAGATAGAAACTCACTGTGTGTTCAAAGAACTACTATTCCCAGGTACCAGTGGTGGGATTCAATTTTTTTTACTACCGGTTCTGTGAGCGTGGCTTGGTGGGCGTGGCAGGGGAAGGATACTGTAAAATTTCCAGTCAGAGGTGGTAATTTGCCGGTTCTCCGAACTGCTCAAAATTTCCACTATCGGTTCTCCAGAACTGGTCAGAACCTGCTGAATACCACCTCTGCCAGGTACTGTATACTTACTACTTCTGACCAGGGAAATTCCATTTCTGGCTGCTTAGAAATCAGGATTCTAGCTAACACATTTATTTTTCATAAAATCCGTTCCCCTTTCTAGAGTATTTTTCAGTATTTGGTGTCAGAAGTTTCCATGGACACCAGAGGTGACATTCAGCAGGTTCTGACCAGTTCTGGAGAACCGGTAGCGGACATTTTGAGTAGTTCGGAGAACCGGCCAATACCACCTCTGACTAGAGATTTTACAGTATCCTTCCCCTGCCACGCGCACAGAACCAGTAGTAAAAAAATTTGAATCCCACCACTGATGGACACCCCTACCATGATG